CCCCAAAACCCCAAAACCCCACAAGCTAGAATTATGAAAAATAATAGAGACAATATTCTTAAAAATCAATTCCTGTGTAGTTTAACTAAAGAGAAATCATAGATGAATTGAAATGAATGACTTACCTATAATGTCCCCAAATTTGCTCAGCCATATCATCTACTAAACCCTCATTATATACAATGGCTAAATTTTTAGATGGAGATAATTTATGTTTGAAATACAAAAATGATCGAATTTACCTCATTGGTAGCTATTGCAAGTTTCATCAGGATTCGAGCCCACACACTAGCTTTCAAATGTGCTGAGAACAAAAAATAGCTCAATTTAGCGATATCCTACCAATGATATTATTTTCGCTTTTAGTTCATTGAAAGTTTAGAACTCCTATCCATTAAATCCTGTCAGCCTTGCTACATACCCCAAGTCTTTAAATATGTTAAAATGGTCTTCTTAATTAGCGCCATAACTTATTAGACTATATTCTTATACAATATAAGGTATTTTATGATCTTTCAGAAAAGTTTTCCCTCCCAAAAGCACATCATATTCAAACTCTTCAACATCAATTTTTAAGACTCCAATCTTAATATTAGGTGATATGGTTTTCGAATACGAATCTAAGGTTCTTATAGGTACCTCCTATCTAAATAAAACTATAGAAACGTCAAGTAATTTAGAATGGTCATTAATATCATCACCGCATCTAATAATTCCATTTTATGTATTATAGTCATGTGAATATAAATTGCAACTCTCATTTTTAGTACCTAAGGCGAATTTCTCTAGTTAAATGAGATTGCTTACATTTTAGTTAAGACACATTGCATACTCTATAGCCTTATAGTTAGGCTCATATGGTTCAAATGCAATTACATTGTAATCAAGTGAAGCAGCGATAAATGTGAACCATCCAAGATTTGCTCCTATATCCAACAATGCTATTTTCTAATCAGGATATTAAATAGAAACCTTTTTCAAAGCATTTACTATTTAAATAGAATTATGATCATCCCAAGAGTTATTTTGAAAAACTCACTTAGATAGACGATCAGTATGTGGCTTATTTTCTGATGGTCTCACAGTAATTAATTTAAATGCTTTATATCCATTCTTAGCTTAAATACTAATGACTTCATAGTAAATTCCACTTTCTTATATTCCAACTTATTCTTGACATAAAGAATCTTCTTATTGTAAAGTTCTAATCTACTAACTTAGAGGATCAATATCTTCACCATTCGTTGAATTTAATTTATCCTGTGATGCTTCCTATTAGGAATTCAGAAAAGAGAGATAGCAAGATAATATGATAAAGAGTGCTCTCTAGGCAAACATTTTTATTTAATATAATTATTATCAATTAAGTTTTTGAGATAAACCAACCAACACAGCTCTCATTCTCACTTGTTTATCTTGAACCGCTGGTTTTATTTTACTCTAGTTTGATATTTTTAATCTTTAAGGCTGATATATTTAGATTCATTCAATTTAATTGAACACGATAAAGTAGGAATCAATTGTTTTCTAGAATTGACTCAGAAGGAAAGATAAAAGCAAGAAAAAAATGCATATATCAATACTAAGATTAACCAATGGCTTTAATTGAAGATTGGTCCATGATTAAGCGACTATTATTCTGACTTGTTCTATAAGATCATAATACTATACCAAGTAAATTAAAACTAACTCTCCACACTCAACCACTACCAGACAAATTGATAAAAACCCATTTCTTATTCATAAGTTACCTTTTTAACTATGTATTAGGGTATTAAAGAGTCCTTAATTAAATTTGATGAGCAAAAAGGTCTCCCTTTGCGTGTAAAAAAGAGTCTGGAACACCCAATTTTTCAAATTTCTCTTTAATCATTGGTTTTGGAGTTGACTGAGGTTTGTTTTAATTTTAATCAATATTTTTAAAAATGAGCGAACATCACAAGTGCAATTCATTTACGAAAACTATCCCATGTTCAAGCAATTCATTAGGAATTTATCATGATTGCCAAGTGCGAGTAAGAATACATGCTATTCGACTAGAGAATATTAGAGATGTCAATATGATTCAAACTAAGAAGTTACTATTATCTCGAAGGACACTTTGATCCAATGAAATAGGTATTACCAAATTATGTCACTTTTTTCATCTACACTTCTAAATATGAAATTAGAAAGCATCAGAGATCTCGAACTCATCAGCTACGAGTTAGTTGGCAAGATTGTATGTGTAGCGTACTTTAAGTTTCTCAAGTAGGTATCAGCACCACAGACTGCTCATTATTGCATCGTCTACTTCATACACACTCAATAGGAATACAGGAAGCAAGGACACGCGGCAATACTTACGGGGATCATTGTGCACTGCATGAGAGAGCACTTTTCACTTAGAGGTGGGGTCCTCTTGTGAAAATTATATTTTTTCATGCTTCTAAAATCCAAGGGATTTTACAAGGAACTTGAGTTCACGTGTGCTGATACCTACTTTCATAATTGGAAGCGGGATTCGTATTCATTGATGTATTTGGACATTAGCAGCAAAGGAGAACCACAGTTTGAATGATTCCAGAAGTTTAAATTATGGTAAGATAAAGAGTTTTCTTAAGCATAAACGCCAACACTGATTTAAAATGAAGAAGTGAAGAACGACGGTTCTTAGTTTGAACTGTCTACAAAAGTGCAACCACGTCAACAAGAAAAGCCTTAAAAAAATGATAGTTTAAGGAACACAGTAGCTCCTTTGAAAATCGCGGCAAATTAATAACATCAGTGTGCTATTGATTTTGATGATAATGCTTTAATTGCTGAATCTTCAATGTCAGTCATTACTAGTAAGAGCAAATGGGGAGCTATCAATAAACATTGTACTGTTGATGGATGTAGTACTAAAAAAGTCATTAACTGTAGTAATTGGCCAAGTCATGTTAAAAGTCATGCAACGATAAGTATGCTTAAAGAATCAGTCTGTTTTATTGCTTGTCGAAGTGCTGAGTGTGATATATGTCCTCTAGGTAAGTATTTTATTAAAACTAGTCGCCTAGTCAACTGATGCCAATGACTAGCTAGGCACCTAGTCAAACTATACATATCTTAACTTATAGTCACCCAAACAGATACTAAGTATGGTAAAAATATAGTATTAATATGTTCCATGTGCATAGAAGAGAAGAGAACTGGTATCTTTGTCAAGGGTGTGAGTCCATATGTGTGTAAGTTGTGTGATAGGTATTCACGGCCTTCTGAAAGTAAATCACCAACTAATAACAGCAATAGTTACAAAATCAAATTATCAATAATAACAACCTATTAACTGAAGCTAATGTACAACGATTCACTCTAGGCAAGTGGCATGCTTAAGAAACATAGAGATAGCAGTTAAATGACTCTTTTTAAAGTTATCTTGAATAGAATGCCTATCTTGACATCGATATGCAGGATGAAACAAGTCCTCAATAATAATATCAATAGTTTTATATGCCAAATGTTCCATTTGCTAAGAGACAGAAGGTACAAGATTTCTCTTATGAATTCAACGCTTGGTGCCTTTATCACATGCACTCCCACTCGATCGGTAATTAATGATAAAAAATCTGCTACATCAGGTAACTCTGTGTATCTGGTTGCACTGACTGA